GCATGGCGGTGTGTGTGTGTGTGGCTGGGCACACTGCGCGCTGAGTGGGTGTATCCATAAGCTGCGGGTTCGTGTGCGTGGGGTTGCGTGTACATATACCCACTGCCGTGCTGGGAGGGTCCATGTACATACGCACTTTGTGTGTGCACACATTGTAGCGGTGTGTCTTTGTGTGAATGGGGTCATACAATATATACACACTGTGTAGTGCTGCATGGATACAAATACATGTGCTTGGTGAGTGTGTGTACATATATCAGCTGTTGAGGGGCGTGGGTACAGCTATAAGCTGTGGGTTTGTGTGCAGGGGGCATGTGTGTATAGATATAGATATACAGCTAGATCAATACACACTGTGTACTGTTACGTGTGTGTACATATGTAAGCTGTCGAGGGGCGTGGGTACAGATGTTAGCTGGGGGTTTGTGTGCAGGGGGTGTGTGTGTACATATACACACACTGTGTACTGTTACGTGTGTGTACATATGTAAGCTGTCGAGGGGCGTGGGTACAGATGTTAGCTGGGGGTTTGTGTGCAGGGGGTGTGTGTGTACATATACACACACTGTGTACTGTTACGTGTGTGTACATATGTAAGCTGTCGAGGGGCGTGGGTACAGATGTTAGCTGGGGGTTTGTGTGCAGGGGGTGTGTGTGTACATATACACACACTGTGTACTGTTACGTGTGTGTACATATGTAAGCTGTCGAGGGGCGTGGGTACAGATGTTAGCTGGGGGTTTGTGTGCAGGGGGTGTGTGTGTACATATACACACACTGTGTACTGTTACGTGTGTGTACATATGTAAGCTGTCGAGGGGCGTGGGTACAGATGTTAGCTGGGGGTTTGTGTGCAGGGGGTGTGTGTGTACATATACACACACTGTGTACTGTTACGTGTGTGTACATATGTAAGCTGTCGAGGGGCGTGGGTACAGATGTTAGCTGGGGGTTTGTGTGCAGGGGGTGTGTGTGTACATATACACACACTGTGTACTGTTACGTGTGTGTACATATGTAAGCTGTCGAGGGGCGTGGGTACAGATGTTAGCTGGGGGTTTGTGTGCAGGGGGTGTGTGTGTACATATACACACACTGTGTACTGTTACGTGTGTGTACATATGTAAGCTGTCGAGGGGCGTGGGTACAGATGTTAGCTGGGGGTTTGTGTGCAGGGGGTGTGTGTGTACATATACACACACTGTGTACTGTTACGTGTGTGTACATATGTAAGCTGTCGAGGGGCGTGGGTACAGATGTTAGCTGGGGGTTTGTGTGCAGGGGGTGTGTGTGTACATATACACACACTGTGTACTGTTACGTGTGTGTACATATGTAAGCTGTCGAGGGGCGTGGGTACAGATGTTAGCTGGGGGTTTGTGTGCAGGGGGTGTGTGTGTACATATACACACACTGTGTACTGTTACGTGTGTGTGCACGTATGTAAGCTGCCGAGGGGCGTGGGTACAGCTATACACTGTGGGTTTGCGTGCAGGGGGTGGGGGTGTCTGTACCCACACACCGTGTTTGTGAAGACGTGGGGCGCTGCACAGTCGTGTGTACACGTGGCTGTGGATACTGTGTAACGGCTGCTGGGCCGGTTCCCAGCAGCGGGGCTCCCGGCAGAGGGAGTGGGTTT